TTTTAAGCTGATATTATGGCGGAGGCAGCTGTTACGTACCATCTAGTGGCCACTGACAGCTGATTCTCCACTGGATTTTCAGAGGCAATATATCTCACAGGAGATTGCACATCCTCCATCAAGAAAATGACGGATTCGGCCTTCCGTGCTTTCTACGGAGGTGGTTGTCAGCTGCCACTGGCATAATGGCTGCCCTCAGACCCCTGGTCCGTCAAAAAGAGGACCAAGAAATTCATCCGCCACCAGTCAGACCGTTATGTCAAAATTAAGCGTAATTGGCGCAAGCCCAGAGGCATCGACAACAGGGTTCGGAGACGATTTAAGGGCCAGATCTTGATGCCCAACATTGGTTACGGGAGCAACAAGAAGACAAAACACATGTTGCCCAGTGGCTTCCGCAAATTCCTAGTCCACAATATCAAGGAGCTGGAGGTGCTGCTGATGTGTAACAAATCTTACTGTGTTGAGATTGCGCACAATGTTTCCTCCAAGAACCGCAAAACCATTGTGGAAAGAGCAGCCCGGCTGGCCATTAGAGTCACCAATCCCAACGCCAGACTGCGCAGCGAAGAAAATGAATAGAAAGCTTGTTTGCACATTTCATTTGTGCTAAATAAACCATAAAAACTGCCAAAAAAAAAAAAAAAAAAAAAGAAAGAAAATGACGGATTCGAATCTCAGCTCCTTACCACTACTAGGTCACCAGAGCGGTAATCTAAAATGTGGGTGTAAGGTGTTTGCAGAAGAGACCAATCGCAGTGCTTGCCATAGGAATTATTTTCTGTAGATAGGTCTCTGAAATATTGTACACTGGCACAAGGTGATTCCAACCCAAATACCATCCCTTGACTTTGTACTTTCTGCACTAACTTCTTTTTTGCAACTCAGTTTCACTTATTGCCATAAACAGTAAGAAACGACTCATAGCTCCATTGGGCTTTTGGAGGGATAAATTGCAAGGGAAGAAATTTTGTTCATTTTTCTCTCGCAAAGATTCTTGCTGGATTTCAACTGCCAGAAAAGAGCCACTTTTTTTTGTCAACTTCCCAAGGACTAAGCCAACAGGAAGTAGTAGAGGAATTTACCCTACCAAGACACTGCGCATGCTTATTTGTGGTCCCTTGTGCAAGTCTCACCTGGAGTGACTGAGTGGGAACGTCCGCTACCTCGGACGGCTTCCCCCGCTCCATTAGCCTTAATGGTACATCCCGGCCTGGGCGCCCAGGCGCCGGAAGCAGGGGGCAGCGGGGTGGGACCTGATGCCCTGAGTGACGGAAGTGAGTCTACCTCCGGTTGAGCGGGCTGTTTGGAAGTTGGCGGCAGCGGGGAACTTGAAGTGACGGTGCAAAGGGTCCAGGAGCGTTATCCAGGAGAGAGACTGGACCCCGGGCAGGGAGCAGGTCTGTGAAAACCAGAGGACTGCCGCTCCGACGCGGTGCTTTTGGTATTTTCTGAAAGCTGGTAGGGCGCGCCTGGGCTCCCACTGGTCCCTCCTCCCCGGTCACGCTGCACTTTCCCGCCACCACCAAGGTTCATTTTATAAGTCGGAGACGTTTCTCTTAACTCTGTTTCTCGTTTGTAGCTCAGCCATAGTCCGCAGCACAGACTGCTTCGTTTGGTAATCTCTGTATATTTTTTGTCCCCCGCTTGCTCTCCGAGGAGCGTTGCACGCCAGTGGTACCTCCCGTTACTGAAGTTTTAAGGAGCTTTCGCCCTGCGACCTCTTGACACCTAAACCGGAACATCACAGCCACTTCCCTGCTTGCTACTTACCTCTGACTTGCTCCTTACCTCTGACTTTAGGACGGATTTAGCAAATGTGCCTATGGTAATTAATTGCTTTGAGCATAGTCCCTTATGAAACCTTATGTACTTTCTGGCTCTCATCCGCTGCTTTGACAGATAAATCTTACCTGGGTCTCATTGTTACCCAGGCCTGACCTGCGGGTGGGAATTGAAAGCATGGAATCTGGAACTGGACAAACTTAGTTTTCAGTTCTGTGTTTGCCACTCACTAGACTTTCCCCCACACCCCCGCCCCAGCCTCTGCCTCATTAGCCTTTTAACTTTGGGAAATTTAATTAATCTGAATCCCAAAAATGGGATTCACCAAAAAACTTCCTTTACAAGACTAGTCTGAGATTAAATGAATGAGTGTAAAGTGCCAAGCCCAGGGTCTTGCATTGTAGGGGTCCAGTAATTCATTTGTTCAACAGATACTTAGGTTTGGACCTCATAACAGCTAGATGTGTTCATAGAGACCCTATAGGATGGGGTAAAACCTTCCCCGTAGAGTTCTCAGTGCTGTACATCTTTCCAGAAACAGATTACCACACCTTGCTGATATCTCAGTGGTGAACAAAACCAGACATGGCTCCTGTCCTCAGAGAGTTTATAATCTAGTGAGAGATAACAGTCATTCATCTAATAATTACAAATAAATACATGTGTTCTTAAAAGTGTAGTGATATGTAAGAGTCACCAATAAGTTTTGCACGTGCTTTTAGAGAGTGTAATGTGTGCTGTCAAATCTGAGCTGGCTCACAGCTCTCCCTCTGCCGGGTTTTCAGAGGTATTAAATCACTAGGGAGGAGATGGTACATATTCCTGCAGAGCAGCTGGTGGATTCAAACCGTGGTCCTTTGCGATTGTGGTGCAGGTTCTTACCACAAGGTAGTGGGGGACGTTTGACCTGAACTGGGCAGTTGCTGAAGAAGGGTGCCTTGATCTGAAGGATTTGTAGGAATTAACAAAGACTGAGAGCAGGAAATAGAAGGAAGGGCATTTAGAGTCCAGATAGAAAGTCACGTAAAAGTCTTGTGGCAGGAGGAATGTGAGTTTTGGAAGACTGAGAACAATTTGTTTTGGCTAGAGTAGGTAGTGACAAAAGAGGAGCCTGGCAAGATGAGGAGCCCTTGTGGCAAAGTGGTTAAAACATTTGGCTGCTAGCCAAAAGGTTGGAAGTTTGAATCTACCAATGGCTCCCTGGGAAAAAGTTGTTGTCATAGTCTTTTCAGTAGCTTGTTTGCAAGTAAAAGCTGGACAGTGAATAAAGAACTATAAAGAAGAATTGATGCATTTGGATTATGGTGTTAGACAAGAATATTAAATTATGAACTGCCGAAATAAATAGCCTTGTCTTTGAAGAAATACAGACTGGATGCTCCTTAAAAGCCAGAATGAGGAGACTTGGTCTCACATATTTGGACCTGTTATTAGGAGGGACCGGTCCCAGGAGCTCCGTGGTCTAGTGGTAGGGAACTGTGGTGCCAACCTCAAGGCACATGGTTTGAATCCAGCGGCTCTGTTGGAGAAAGATGGACATTCTCCTACCATGCGATTTACTGCCTCTGAAAACCCTCTGAAGGATCAACTATGAGTCGGTGCTGACTTGACAGTACACAACAGCAAGCCCCTGGATAAGGACATCCTGCTTGGAAGGGAATTAATGAAAAAGAGGAAGACCCTCAGTGAGATGGATGGACACAAGGGCTACAACAGTGGACCCAAGTGTAGCTGTGGTTCTGAGGACGACACAGGCCTGGGCAGTGTTTCATTTTGTTGTATGTAGCTTCGCTATGAATTGAAGCTGCCTTTCAGCATGTGGTTAGATTGACAGGCCTTAGAGTAGTGGATATGGAGGTTGAAGGTGAAGTTGACAGTGTTGCCCAGGTTTCTGACTTGACCAGGTTGGTGGATGGCAGTATTCATTGACTAAGAGGGCAACATACACTGAAGTCGAGGAGCAGGAGCAGGTTTCTGTCCTCTGGTTTGCACTTCCCCCTCCTCAGTCCCATAGCTGGTAAGTTAAATCCTATCTGCCTCTAGTTCATTCTTGATTACTGTTGCCCAGTCTGCACCCCAGTACAGGTCTGTCACCAGCACTGTTCTTACGGATTATATGTTATAATGAATAAACCAATATAGATACTTTATTAGCTAAAATCTAGTTTACGTTACTGTTCACGTTGTGCTATTTGATCAGGTAAGTTTTATTAAATCCTTACTATCGGGTTCACTATTAACATATCATACAGAGTGTTCTCACTGCCTTAAAAATGCTCTGACCACTGTCATCCTTCCCTTGTCAGATGTGTCAGTGCCAAATTTTTTTTTTTCTAATCTGTAGGTTCTCTTTTTTTGGAGAAGTCTTTTGATGTGCGTAAGGATTTGATTTTTAAGAGGCCCTGATCATCTGGTTTTTCCTCTCCTGATTGTGCGTTTTTATTTCTAGTTGATTATCTGTTTATACCCTAGATTAGGGCTCCTGTTTGCTCCAGTAATTTCTTGGATGATCATTGTGGTTTTTGGTTTTACATGTTGGTCTTTGAGTCATCTTGAATTAGCTTTTGTATATTGTATGAAGTAAGGATCATGTCTGGATCTTTTTGCAGGTAAATATCCCATTTTGCCAGCATAATTTATTAAAAGAGTCTGCTTTTCCTTTGCTTAATAGATTTCTTCTCTTCAAAGATCAGTTATCTATAAATGGATGAATTGACTTCTGGGTTTTCAGTTATATTTCATTGCCTGTATATCAATGTATAAATATTACATGTTTTTAATAAAGGATGTGCACGCACACGCGTGTGTGTTTGTGTTTATAATAATTATTGTGTTCTATGTTTGACCTGGTAGCAAATTGAGTTATGCTACTGCCCAAAGGGTACACCTTTCTGTTGGTTCAAATCCACAAGAGGCTCTCACCTCAAATCCATGAGAGGCTCTGACCTTGACAGGGTTGTACTGCATGCAGAATATTTTGAAGGCTACAGTCTTGACTACAGACGTAAACTGCTACATCTTCTTTGGAGCAACATGTGTATTTAGACCTTTTAGTTGGCAGCTGGGCACTTTGACCACTGCACCACCAGGACAAGCTGTTTTGTCTATAAGTAGGTATGAAATGATAGAAGAAGAAAAGAAGAGCCAGCTTTAAAGGCTTCTGAAAGTTTCATCTGGCTGACGTTTTTCTCTACAGCTCTCTGAAATGAGCAACCATGGATCAGAAAATTTTATCTCTAGCAGCAGAGAAAACAGCAGACAAACTTCAGGAATTCCTTCAGAACTTGAGAGAAGATGATGTGAGTATTAGAAGGCATGCTTTGCTAAAGCAAGTCAAAACTTTTGCATGTATCATTATCTAGTTGACATCTTTACTTGAATACCGGGGGTAATGGTGCTTGGCCTTGTGCCAAGCCTCCTGAATCCGAAACTGAGCGTGAAACAGCTGTTTTAACAAATCCTTTGAATGATTTGGAGTTATTTAATCCTAGATTTTCCCCATGTTAATATATGCTGACTCCCCATATTAATATATAGATCTCCCCAGTAAATTGCTTAAACCAGAAATTTAGGAAACTTCCTTGATTTCTTCTTTTCCTGTATCACCACCTCTTTTCCTGGTTGGTTCTATCTCTCAAATATTTCCTGAACTTTCTTATCTTCATCTCTCCTGCTACCACTTTGTTCTAAGCAGCTCTCATCCCTCATTTGAATACTACATCAGTTTCCTAGCTAAACCTTCCACAACGCATTGTCTACACAGAAGTAAGAATGACTTTGTTTTTTGAATGATATCTTAAGTTTACACAGTAGTTTAGGTTCCCATTCAGGATTCTCTACACAAATTGTTCAGAAGCATTAGTTGCATTTTTTACATTGCATGAACATTACACTCTGATTGTTCCATTTAAGTCAATCTAGTTTCCCTACCCCCATACTTCTCATCTTTGTTTTACAGCAGTTGTTTACTGTTTAATCTCATACATGAGTTTTTAAAAGACATAATAGTACATTTAGCACCCTATATCTGTTGATTCTACATCTATTGATTCCAACCTTGGGACTGAAAATATTTGGGGAGAAAAAATGGCTCCTAAAAAGCTATTAAATGGTATATCAGTCCCTCAGAAACTAAGGGGAGACAATAAAGTGCTATTTACAGAATATTTACATTGTATTAAGCATTATAAATATTACAGAGATGATTTAAAGTATGAGGAAGCTGTATAAAGGTTATATGCAAACACTACACTATTTTATATAAGAGACTTGAGCATCCTTAGGTTTTTTAACAGGGGAGAGGGTTCCGGAATCAATTCCTGAGAGATAACTATGTTCATGAATGTATTCTTTGTCTGCCAATGTGTTATTTAGCTAAAAAGTGACCTCAAGGGTTCATTTCAGTTCAAGGTTTAAAGAATATTTCAGGACATGAGATTTGTGGAGCTCTTTAATTTCGATCCCTCTAGTAAGTTTGTATTTTATAGGAATGTGAGGTTCTGTTCTATTTTTTTCTCCATTCTATGTTATTCAGTCGAGAAGAGAATGACTAGTGATGGTAACCAGTCTAGTTCTGGTCTCAGTAAGTAAGGCTGTTGTTCCTGTAGACTGTTCATCCTTCATTGGGCCTTTGGTCTCCTCCTTTCTCTCTCATTTTGGACAAATAGAAACCAACAGCTGTATCTTAGATGACTTTTAGAATTGTAGATACTACTCATCAGTAAAAAGAACCTTTTAAAAAAATCATCTAGTATGTAACTAGAGTTCTGATGGCCTTGTCTGTAGGGAGTTGTGCTACTAATCTCAAGGTTGCACCTCTCTCAGTTCAGATTCTCCAGTGACTCCGAGGAAGGAAGAGGGACAGTCTCCTTCTATGCATTTACAGCACCAGAAACTCAGGCGAGGGTCAGCTATGAGTCAGTTCCGACTCTACAGTCATGAGAACTAAATAATGAATGAAAAACATACTGCTCCTTTTCTCTCTGATCACTTCTTTGGGACCTAGATACAGTCCATACTTCCTATTATGGCTTATTCATTTTACAGTCTGCTCCTTGCCCATCTTTCCAAACTCATCTTGTGCTGTTATTTTTCTTACTACTGCCGAGCCTTATTGCTCTTTTAAGACCCTCAAACATAAACTTTTTGCCCTGTTCTCACCTTTCATGATTGTTCCATCTGGATTGTCCTCCTTCCCTTAACATCCTCCACTCATTCTCACTCTCCAGAACTCTCTTTAAATGTCACCTTCCCAAGACTTCAAACTGCTTCATTCTGGTGTGACCTGTCGAGAATTTGCCCTTGACATTTTTACAAATGTTGAGTTTTGAAAATGCTAATTCTGATTCCATATATTTAAGGTAGAAATGCAGAATCTCAGCAAGATGTCAAACTGGAATGATGACCCAGTGTAACTAACTGCTCTAGTTAGTTATTCCTCTATCCTCAGTTACTGTCTTTTCAGCCTCTGTTTGTTCCCTTTACACTTAATCTGAGATTTTGTTTAGCCAGCCTTTCCCTGCACTAATGTAGACTCTGAGTTACAAGGATGTCCTCCTTGCCTCCCTCCCACATGCCCAGGAAAAAGGACAGGCTCAAAAACGACTTGTTTAATAAATGAATATTCTCTTGCATGTAGCACAATGGCTAGTGCTGAGTAAATAAGTGCTCAGTGAATGTTGAATGATAACGTGGATGAATTTCAGTTCTGACAATGCAGCCTCATTAAATGTGCTTTTTTTTTAAAAAAAAAAAAATACATGGAGGTTCTGAGTGATAGGAACCTGACAGATGAAAGCTTTCCACTGTGGAAATTTAGGGTCATTGGAGTAGGAGATGGGCCTGCCTGTTGCCAGGGACTTAAGTAGTGTTCACTCTTTGATTGCAGCTAACTAATCTTGTTCAAAATCAAGCAGTGAAAGGAAGAGCTGCTGGAGCACTCCTGAGAGGCATATTCAGAGGTAATAATAATTAAGGATTATTGTAATTGTACTCATGAAATGTTTACTGTTGTCACATATTGCTACTTTTCTATTTGAAGCCCCACTGGGACATTTTTGATATTGGGAGATTCTACAGAATGAACTGAAGCAGCAATCTCTTGTCCTGTGGATTTAAATGATTTCTGAAGGGAGTTGAAGTGGTTGCCTGAGATTGTACTGCTGGATTGAGAGTTTGTTAAGGATACACTTTCTGTAAAATTCCCTTTGGTTTACTTGTGCTTTTAAAATTCTGGAGAACAGTAATGTTAGTACTTAAATCTGTGCTTAGTAAGTGGCTAGGGGGCTCTAGAGTTTAATGAAGTGAAATCTTGGACTGTTTATACACAGATTCTTAATACTAGGCAGGACATATATTTGCTTCTGTATTTTGAACAAGGGCCAGCCCCACCTTGTAGATTGTGACTCACAGTAGTTTTATAAATTATGTAGGATAAAAATTCTACAATTAAAATGGTTTTGGACTCTTCGATTATTTTAGCTTGGTTTATTTTTCCTTTACTCGGGTAAGTTGGGTCTCTCTTACAAGATTACTAAAGCATCTCTCTGTTTATGAAAGAGATTTGAAAGTTGATTGTATCTATCTTTATGAAAATTTATAAAATTACTTTTGTGTAGAAATACCAGATATCAGGTACTGGAGGGAATTAACCCCTCATCATTTTACTTCTCTTAAATTGTATGTTTGACCAATAGTTAACTGATGATGACGTTTACAGTTTTGTGAGACAATTCTATACTGTAAAATTTATAGGCTATCAAAGTTAGCTGTTGTTTTTAATAGAAATAAAATTCACATTGCATGCCAGTACTTTTAAAAGCAACTTACTGAGCTTTAATTGACATACTGTATAACACTCATTTAACATGTACAGTATCTTTTAGTATATTCACAGAGTTAAACAGTTATCACCATGGTAAATTTTAAAACATTTTCATTTTCCTACCAAAAAAACCCATCTCTGCATCCCTTAGCCATTACCTTCAAGCCTCTTACCCATGTCACCTTTCAAAAAAATTCAAACTCATTACCATCGAATTGAACTGACTCATAGCTGACCCTCCAGGGGGTTTTTCAGAGACTCTAAATCACATGGAAGGAAATTGCACATCTTTCCCCCCATGGAGCCACTGGTGGATTCGAAATTCCAGTGAAGTAGTGCTCTTAGGTTAGCAGAGAAGCTCTCTGCAGCCTGCACCACTGTCTCCTTTCTGGCAATGTAGATTCATTCGCCTGTTTTGGATATTTCATGAGTACAATTACAAGGCATGGAACTTTTATGATTACAGTTTTTCACTTAGCATACTGTTACTAAGGTTCATCTGTCTTATAGCACAAATAAGTACTTCACTTTTTTAAATAGCCAAATATTATGCCATCTTGTGAATATGTCACATTTTACTTATCAATTAATGAGTTTAAACACATGAACTTTTTGACTATTATAAATAATATTTCTAGAATTCTATGAAACCATCTGGTCTAGGGTTTTCCCCACCCTCTTTCCTATTCCTTCACCCCCTAACCTGCCCACTAGCCCCTGCTATCCTAGTGATTAGCATTCCCCTTTCCAACATCTCTTTATATCTTATCCTTCTGTTTTTATAATGATGGTCATCTGCAGTATTTTTCCTTATGAGACAATTAGTTTACTCAGCATAATACTCCCTAGACTCTCCCATGTTATATAGTATTTTACAAGATCGTTGTTCCTTAGTGTTGCATAGTATTCCAGTGTGAATGAATGTACCACCATTTCTCCATTCCTTTGTTGATGGGCATTTGAGCTGTTTGTATTTTCTTGCTATGGTGAATAACTCTGCTATGAACATAGAATACATAATCTCTGTGACTCAGTTCTGATCTCAGTGGGTTATATTTCTAACAGTGGCCTAGCTGGTTCATATGATATATCTGTGTTCAGCTTTTTAAGGAAATGCCAAACTGCATTCTAGGGAGATTTTTCCCATTATACAAATCCCTCTGGCTGTGCATGAGAGTTCCAGTCTCTCTGCATCCTTGCCAACATTTATTGCTTGTTGTCCTGTTAAACTTTGCTACTGGGGGTAGATGGTATCTTGTTGGATTGGTTTTCATCTCTTAATTGCAAGAAATCATTTATTCATGTGTCTGTTTGCCATCCAGATGTCTTCCTTTGTGAAGAATCTTCCTATGTCTTTTGCCCATTTTGTTACTGGGTTATCAGTTTTTTTTGTTTTTTTTTTTAAATCAGTCTTTTTCTTCTGGAGGCCCTATACTATTCTGTAAATGAAGCTTTGCCATCTTGGTCTCTGAGGAGCATGCTGGCTGCACTTTCTCCAGTACGTATCGGTTTGTTCTTTTGGCTAGTCAGTACTCTTCTCCAGCACCACAACTCAAAGGCTTCAATTTTTCTTCAGTCATCCTTATTCATTGTCCATCTCTCTGGTGCATAGCAGATGATTGAGAAGGCCACATCAAAATAATTCTTCTGCCTCACTGTCTCTAGGATCTGTAGATTGCTCTCTGCAATCTAGTCTGCATTTTTTAGGGAGAGGATTGTTTTGTTTTTTCAGAATGTTTGATCCTGCTTACTGCCTCCCAGACATTATGTGAAGTTCTTCCTGGTATGTGTGAAGGTTGTGTGTGTAGGTTGTTGTCAGTTCCTTATCTTCATGATGCTCTTCATAAGTTGTAGACTTCTAAATGTTGCCCCGATACAGCTTCCTAGTGGCAGTCTTCCCCTCTGATCATCTGTGTGTGACTCTGTTTTCATCCTGTTGTATTTCCATTTCCTTAAGATTGTCGAAGGTGTGTTTGCGAAAACCTGATTCTTACTTTATGCTTTATTTCTTTCTGGTCTAATCTTTGTTTTCTTCCTTCTCATAGCTTTTGGTGCGCCTGATACAGGCCATGGTCTTTGCAATCACTTGTTATGCATCAGAGAGTTGGACAATGACTAGGGAGGATAGAAGAATTGACGCCTTTGAGCTGTGGTGCTGGAGAAGAGTATTTAATGTTCCATGGACTGCCAAGAAAACAAACAGATTCATCCTAGAGAGGGTTAAACCAGGCTGCTCCTTGGAGGCAAGGATTCTGGGGCTTCGTCTGACATACTTTGGACATGTTGTAAGGAGAGACAGGTCTTTAGAGAGGGACATCATGCTAGGTAGAGTAGAGGGACAGCACAGGAGGGGAAGACCCTCTATGAGGTGGATTGATTCAGTGACTGGGGTAACAGAATGGGTGTGTCAGGGGCAATGAGATTGGCACAGAATAGAGCAGGGTTTAGGGCTGTTGTACATAGGGTCGCTATGAGTCGCAAACGACTCGATGGCATATAACAGCGACAACAAATATCAAAATTTTAAAGTTTTCTGCCATTATTTCCTCAGATACTCTTTCCTTTTTCTCTTCTCCATCCAAGAGTCCATGATACACATGCTAGTTTATTTGGCAGTGTACCACCTCCCATTAGGCTTTGCTCACCTTTTTCAATCCTTTTCTCTTTTTGCTTGCTCTTCAGATTCAGTAACACCGGTTACTTAATTTTTGTTGTTTTAAACAACAAAGTTATTATCCTTCTGATTAGCTTATTCCTTTCTTCTGTAAGATCAAATCTGCTGTTGAACACCTGCAGAAAAAAATTATATTTCAATTATTTCCTTTTTTTCAGCTCCACTATTTCTGTTTAATTCACTTCTATAGTATTTATCACTTTTATTAGGGAGCTCTGGTGACCTAGTGGCAAGAAGCTGTGCTGCAATCACAAGGCCACCAGCTGCTCCATGGAGAAGAATGGACAGTCTTCTCTATGCGATTAACTGCTTCTAAAAACCCGCCAGAGGGTCAGCTATGGGTCAGTTCCAACTCTACAGTACACAACAACATCTCTTTATTAGTATTCTTATTTTGCACATCTATAATTTACTTTCTTTAGTTTTCTTTGTATGTATTTTCCTTTTGTGCTAGGAGCATTTTTATTTCTGCTGTTTATCTTCTAATCTGTTAGATAACCCTGGTGGTTCAGTATTGTTAAGTGCTTGCTTGATAACCAGAAGAGGTAGTTCACTCCCCAGCTGCCTTGGAAGCCCTTGGAGGCAGTTCTCCTCTATCCTTTAAGGTCAGAATGACCTTTTTCAAAATGACCTCAATAGCTATGGGTTTTTATCTGTCCGTTATCCAAACTTCCATCTCTAGAGATATTTTTTCCCCCATTTTCTTTTAAATGGGTCTTCATTAGTTTCTTTGTATGCTAGGGTGTTTTGTTTTGTTTTTTCTTGATGCTAAGACTCTGGAAATTACAGTATGTTAGCTTTCTTAACTACTGTATTCCCCTGACCTTTTTTTAAGACAGAGCTGCTTCTTGGGGTGGCAGGGAGGAACCCTCTAAAGTTGGTAGTAAAGTCCTAAGAAAAAAAGAGTAAAAAACCCAAAAGTATATATACTGTCTTTTATGTTTTTCTACATATTGTTTTTATGTTCAGAGCTGTCATACACAGGGCCACTGTGGGTCAAAGGTGATTAGATGGTGCATAACCACAACAACAACATATTGTCTTTGCCAGCACTCATTTCTTAAATAAATTCAAGTGATTGTATAGTGTCTTTTCATCTCACTTTGTCCTTAGTATTGGGAACACATTTGCTAATTTAAAAAAAAAATCTGATCTATCTCGGACCATCTTAATTTCTCCTTCATCTTTGATGTTCAGTTTTACTAGAAGTCTTAGTTCACAGTCTTTTTCTTCATGCATTTTGAGTATCTCATCCCCTTTCATTCTGCCTTCTTTGGTTTTTGCTTAATTGCTGGACTTTAACCAAAGGATCAGTGGTTCTAGGCCAGCAGAGCACCTGGTGGTAAGTGCTCTAGTCACCATACTATAAATCCATTTGTTTTTTTGTAATTGACCTTTAATGTTGTAAGACTTCTTTTTTTTCTTTATTTCCATACCACCTTTTTAAAACAAAAAGGATCTCCCTGTTCGGAAGAAGCTGGAGCCCTTAGGAGATGTAAAATATACACATTCTGTATTCATTTGGTGGAGTCAGGGGATTTGCAGAAAGAAGTTGCATCTGAAATCATAGGATTACTAATGCTGGAGGTAAGATACAAGAAAAAAAATTTGGGAGAGTGATTTTAAGGTTTATAATTTGTTAAGGGAAGAAAAACTTAAGTGTGGAAAACCTAATTCCCGTTGTGTGTAAAATTGCTTGTTTGGACCTAGCTGATAACATTAGGTTTCTAGTATCTTGGAAATATGTTTCTTTGAAGAGCTTGCATATTTGAAAATGTTAATATATAGTGATGGAGGATTATGACCTTTGAAGTCCTTTACAATTATAAGTATGTGCCAAAAATGAATCCCTTGAAAGATCACTTCTGAATTTTAACATTAGTTCTGTTAATTCAGCAAAAGAGCTTATTTCTTGAGAAAAGATCTCAGACTTCTGTATTTCTACATAACATTGTATATGTGAACTTTTAGGCTCACAATTTCCCAGGACCATTATTGGTGGAATTAGCCACAGAATTCATTGATACTGTCAGAGAGGGCCACTTAGTGAATGGAAAATCTTTGGAGCTACTCCCCATCATTCTCACTGCCCTTGCCACCAAAAAGGAAATACTGACTGATGGAAAAGGTAATTTTTAATATCTTTTCATAATTCCTTTTTCATTCACTTGGTCAAATTTAGTTCTCAGTTTATTTTGTATTTCTAGGTGAATTGAATGGGGAAGAATATAAAACACAGTTGATTAAAACCCTCTGTTCTGGCAGGTGAGTCTTTCTCAGGACCACCATTGTGGTCAAAACTATGTATCTTTTAACTAGTAGTTGCATTTCTGGGAATCTACCCTAAAACATAAAAGCTTTATTCATTACCATGTTAACACAAAAATTGATAAGCACTTTAAACAGTAATACAGATAGGTAAGTTAACATATATAAACTATGAAAGCTAAGGTTGATCCACTCCGTGAAACTGATAACCATTAGCAATGATGTGAATCAAAAAGTATTCAGGTTTACTGATTTGATAGACACTGGTGGACCAAGACTCTGTAACTCTCTTTGTTGTTGTTATTTGCCATTGAGTCACCTGCGACTCATAGCGACCCATGTACAACAGCCCTAAACCCTGCTTTATCCTGGGCCAATCTCACTGTCTCAGACATACCTATCCCCCATTACCCCAGTGATGGAATCAATCCATCTCATTGAAGGTTTTCCTCTCCTATGCTGTCCCTCTACTCTCCCAAACACGTCGTCCCTCTCAAAGGACTAGTCCCTTCTTGCAACATGTTCAAAGTAAATCAGACAAAGCTTCTGAATCCTGGCCTCCAAAGAGCAGCCTGGTTTTACTCTCTCTAGGGTGAACCTGTGTCTCTATTTAGTTACCCTAAAAACCTGGACTAAAACTCACCCCAATGGCTTAACTTTCAACTAAGTAATAGACAAACATACGAGATAAGCAGTAACACCAGGGAGATGCTCATTATTTTATATAATTAACCATTTAAGATGAACAGGACATGGTAGGGGGTGGACAGGGAGGAAAATGTGCAACAATGAATGAATGGAAATCCTAGTTCTTTATAAAGTTTCATTAAAATCTCAATGAATAATAATTTTAAAAAAAACAAAACACATGAACATGGCAGTATTTCCCCAGGGGTGAAGCCTAGGAGACAGAAAAAGGTAGGATAGAAGATTGATGGGAATGAGAATCACAAGGATGAAGTGGGATAAGCGTGGTTACATTGTGAGTATAGTATATTAATGTTATAAAACAAAATGTGTATGAGTGAATGAGTGGAAAACCAATCAGCTTTGTAAATTTACTCAGATCATAATAAAAAGGAAGAATAAAAAAATAACAAAATGATACGTATAAAGACCTGTGTGGACAGTGAAGCACCCAGTGAACAAGGAGAATTTTAATTTATAAAATAGTGTGATTACACTTGAGTATATTAAAAAGAACCAGATGGAATATCTAAAATTACCTAAACCAGAGATTACCTTTGTTAATGGTTTTTGAAATTTCTTCATAAATACCTTCAGGCATGTGGTGGCATGTATGTAGTTGCATACTTGTATGTTTTTAATTATACAGAAGAATTTATTCAATATCCAATATACATTGGGGTTTCATTTTTATAGTCTCATTTTTAATGCTGCTTTAGTTTTCTATTATTTGGCTAATTTTCAGTTGTTGGATTCTTCTGTTTCTTATTTTTCCATTGCAAAAAATGTTGCTGTGAACATTATTACAGATTAGGTGACCTTGTGTAAACAAAGTGACCTGTGTACAAGGTAATATATTTCTAATAGAGCTGAGTGGGTCTGTGGTCATATACATTTTTAAACTTAGTCATTGTCAGTTTGTCTTCCTGGAAGAGTTACGTTGTTCACTCCCTACAATTGTGTGAGAAGAGACTGTTTTCCCTACAATCTCGCTCACACTGGGTATCATCAGATTTTTTACATTGCCAGTCAGTTGGGTAAAAGCCGCTATTTGATTTTTTAAAATGACAGTCATTTTATTTTGTTTCAAGTTGATGCAGAATCATTGGTTTACCTTTTTTCTCTGTACTCATTTTAAAAGTAATGTTTAATATTTAAGTAAGTGAAATGAAATGTGTTGATATTCTCTGTCATTTTCTTTAACCAGGTGGGATAAGCAGCATGTGATCCAGCTCACGTCCATGTTCAAGTAAGTACCATCCTTCTCTCTCCTTTGTAGCCTGCTTTTTGAGTTTACCTGTTTGAAATCGACACATGCACCACTTCTCCATGAGCAAGAGTATTGCTTTGTTTTCTGCAGTAGGCTCCTTCCTCCCCTCTTGGCTTTTCAGTATAGCATTATGATTGATTGCCACCATCCCATTATGTAGATGAGGTTATTGGTCCTGCTTAAAAAAGTCCATTAGAAATCAAGACAGCTTTAGTATGCCGGCATCTCCTTTATTCTATAATCCCAAATTGTGTTTATTTTAAAAATTTTCAGTTACATTTTAACCACTGTCAGCCCTGACTTGTATTTTTAAAAATAAAAGCTGTGGAAGTACAGTGGGTAAAGTGACTTCAGCCAGGCTAAAGGACTGCACTTTGGGACCCGCAGCCCCTCTGAAGGAGGACTTGGCAGCTTGCTCCTGTCAACATTTACAGCTGTGGAGACCCTGTGGGCTATCTCTCCCCTGTCCTGAAGGCTTGCTCATTCACATCAGTGCATTTAAGTTTGGGTTTTTCTAGCCTCTGGAATCTTTGGTCCACAGGGATGTTCCTCTAACTGTAGAAGAAGTGGAATTTGTGACAGAAAAGGTGTTAAAGATGTTCTCCAAATTAAATCTTCAAGAAATACCACCTTTGGTCTACCAGCTTTTGGTTCTTTCCTCAAAGGTATAAATTAATAAAATTCTATTTAACTATGTTGTGTTTGTTGTTAAGTGCTGTCAAGTCGCAGGCGACTCATAGCAACCCTATGAAGGAGAGTCCTCGACACTTGGGTGCCTTTCATCCTCTCTCCGGGTTCCTAGGGTTTCCAGAGGCAAGCTGTTATGGAAGTGGATGCCACTCCTCCTTCCAAGCTTGTTTTAACTGGGGAGTTCCACCCCACTCTCTGTCCGCATTGGGTAGCCAACCACTAATGTATTTGACACATCAGTGTCACAGTGTTCAGCCTCACAGCAACCAAAAGTGACCGTGGTACGGCAACTTGTACACCAGGGCTATACGACCTAGAGGAATGTCTGAACAAAAACAATGAAAGACAGGTCCGAGGGCCGCAGATTAAAAGTCACCCACCTTTGGCTTGGTAGCATCGCTTTCTGTCCACTGGGCCAGCTGATCTCTCTCTCTATGTTGATATTATTGTTGTTAAAGTGCTGTTGAGTTGCAAGCGACTCATAGCAATCCTATGAAGGAGAGTCCTCGATGCTTGGGTGCCTTTTATCCTCTCTCCAGGTTCATAGGGTTTCTGGAGACAAGCTATTATAGACGTGGATGCCACTCCTCCTTCCAAGCTTGTTTTCAGAATGACAAATTAGAGCCATTCTGTTTATTTCTTGGTTTGCAAACTAGAGTATAGGTGATCTCATTTCATGTATGCTAAATTACTCTCATAAAAAAATCAGCCAATGAAAACAAACATTTTTCTTTGTGTTATGTGGTTTTTTATGGGAGTAAGAGGAATAAAGAGAACCCAAAAATGTAGACTATAGGTCCCTTGAAGTCTGCTACTAAGATATTTTAAACTCAGTTTTAATGTAAACGTGTTCTATACATTTGTAGTGTAATTTTAGGTGATAGTTGTTTGTGTTTTTAAATTATACTTGAGACTCTTTTTAAACAGAAAATGTTTTAAATTCAGATGATAGATCTTGCCCGTCTGGAGAGACTTTATCTAATTTCTTTTGTTTCTAGGGAAGCAGAAAAAGAGTTTTGGAAGGAATCTTAGCCTTCTTCAACGATCTGGATAAGAAGCACAGGGAAGACCAGAGTGGAGATGAGTGAGTGATAATACAGTGTAGAGATGTAAAGGCCATTTTTACAGATTTATCTCGCTTATCATGGCATGTTTTAGTTACTTCATAGTTAGCTTCTTTATTTACCTTCTACCTTCCCTTCAGTCCAGAACTTCTCTGATTATTTATTTCTGTGGTGTTAGCCTAAAAGTTGGGTTTTTAGCCATTAGTTAGCCCCCTCTGGTCTCCTTTACTGCATACACATGGTCTTGCAAATCATCCTCAGCTGTGGGACTAGAATAGGAGAACAGCAAGACTTGAGGCAAGCAAGATGTCTGGTGGCAAGACTTGAGAGAGACTGGAGCAGACCCTGTTGGCATGACCGTGGTGATGGTGTTAGTGAGACGCTGGCATTGCTGTAGAGAAACTGGCAATATGGAAGCGGAAGAGCCCTGAGATAAAGACCACAGTTAAAAATGTTTGCTATTCTTGCCTTTGATGGAAGGAAAAGCTGTTTGCTGAACCAAAACCAGAGTCTGGATTAATTGAGGAATTGTACTTGGAATTGTAGTACTAAAATATGTACTTGTCTTGTGAGGTATTCTTTGCCTCTCCCACTCTCCATCTTCCTTTGCTAATAAACCCCGTAGTTGGTATCATAACTGTGAGTCAGCAACGAATAAACATGCCTCTTGCTGTTGATGTGGCTCTAGAAGCCCCGTGAGGCTGGGCTACCGGCTCTTTATCTGCTTCCTATTCTGAAGGAATTGGGGGTTGTGCTATTCTTACTCCCTCGGCCCTTTCAGAGAGACACTCACGGCCCTGTTCCTCCATGGCCTCTTTTCTACTCTTTAGGCTTTTGACGTCAGAAAGAGTGGGATTTGTTATTTCCTCATTGTTCAGATACAAAGTTAGTAGTGTAACCGCTTCAGCTTCTTTATTTGCATGTCAGTAGCAGTAATTGGTCAATAAACTGCAGATTTAAAAGTTGTCAATTACTTTGTATGTTTTATAGCCAGGAACTATAAGAGGAAGCAGTGAGGAACTCATCAGACAAGGTCCTGCTCTCATGGAGTTTAAATTTTAGTGAAAAGAGCACAAAAAAAAATAAATGAGCAAGAAAAATACTGGAGTGGAAGTTGCTGTGCATTGTGACAACATAACTAGATTGGTGGTTGGGGGAAATTCTTCTTTGACAAGATGCTATTTTAATTGAAACTAGGATGATAAAAAAAGAGCCACAATAATAGAAGAAGAGCACTCCAGATTAGGAATCAGATAGTGTAAAGGCAGGACACAGCATGACCTACTAAGAAATAAAAAGGCCATCTAGTTAGAAAGATTGAAACTGTCAACAACTTCATCTTATTTGGATCCACAGTCAGCCACCTTGGTACCAGCAGTCAGGAGATCAAGAAACATACTGCACTGGGAAAGTCTGCAGTCAGAGACCTCTCCAAATTATTGAGGAGCAGTGATCTCAGCTTGAGAGCGAAGGTGTGCCTGGTCCAGGCCATGGTGTTTTTAATCACTTGCTATTCTTCTGAGAGCTGGACCTCAGATAAAGAGGACAGAAGAGGAATAATCTATGCCTTTGAGCTGTGGTGTTGGAGAAGAGTACTGAACATCCCATTGACTGACTAAAGAAGAGGCAGAGATATATCTTAGAGAAAGTGCAGCTGGAGTGCTCCTTGGAGGCTATAATGATAAAGCGTCATTTCCAGTACTTTGGGCATGTTGCTAGAAGAGCCTATCGTTAGGGCATCGTACTTAGAAAAGTGGAGGGTTGACAAAAGAGTAACTGGATGGATTGACACAGCAACTGCAGCAATGGCCCTGGAGTATGTCAGCAGCAAGCTGGAAGCTAGTAGGATGAGACAAAAGCAGATAGGTAGGGCCAGATTACCTAGGACATTAGGAATGAGATTACAGAGTTTGATCTTGATATTAGTCAAATGGAAAGGTATTGGCAGTCTTTAAACAAGCTAGTGAAGTCTGATTTGTGTGTAAAGCTTGTTTTGCTTGTTGTATGTCCAGTAGATTGAATGGAGGGGCAAGAAAAGTAGGAGAGGGGGACTAGTCACAGTGGGAAGATGGAGAAAAATATTTATAATATCTCTTGGAGATAGTTGTTGTTATTGTGTACCATCCAGTTGGAACAACCCTCAGGTGGGTTTTCAGAGGCAGTTAATCACATGGAGAAGGACAGGCTATTAAAAAAATTGATGGGAGGACAGTGACAGACTGCTGGACAGCAAAAAAAGACAATACTTCAAGAAGTGATCAACCATATTAAATCTGTTGAGATGTTAAAATGGGGACTTTATAATTGGTTTTGTTAATGCAAGAGTCATTGGTGGCCTATACTAGAATAGTTTTAGTGACATGAAGGTTAGAAAGGAGACAACCTGATTGAATTGGGTTCCACTGGGAAGACAGCAAGAAATAAATAGAAATAATGATTCTGTAGTCATTATTTCAAGCTCTTTACTACCTGCCTTCAGTGATTCATTGATTGTCTGAGTTCAGCTTGACTTGGTCCCTCACTCCTCTGAGTAGCTGCACTTTACTCGCTCCCTCAAACTCTAGTTGATCTCTCTCTTGAATTGTTTAGGCTGCTGGATCTTGTTACTGTACCATCAGGTGAGCTTCGTCATGTAGAAGGCACCGTTATTCTACACATTGTATTTGCTATCAAATTGGACCGAGACCTGGGCAAAGAACTCCTAAAACACTTAAAGGTAACTTCTTTTGTGAAACGTGAGAATGTTTGAACTCTGCCCATTTATATGCCTGTTAATGACAGAGAAACTAAAAATGTAAACTTTTATCTGCCACTGTCTTGCATAGCCTTTAACCTTGACTACTGCTTCTCTGGTTTGCTTTTTTTTTTTTAGTTGGAATATTGCCTGTGTATAATACCATGTGATTGGGATTTGTGAAGCTAAATCAATCATTGCTGAATATTGGTAGAAGTATTTTAAATAAAAGACCTATTTTTCTGAGAAAAGTGTATATCAATAAAAGGCCTATTTTTCTCCCAATTTTTTATTTTGAATTTTTTTTTTTTTGGTCTGCGTAAAAGTTTAAAACACAAATACAGTGAATGCCTGTATACCCTTAATTCACCAATTATTGACTTTGCTACATTTACTTTTAATTTTTTTTTATATTCATTGTTACAAATTTTTTTTCCCATCCTATCCCACCCCACAATGCACCCCTTGTTCCAGATTATTGTCATACATATATTGCCTAATCATATATTCCTTTTGGACAGACCGTCCCCTCATCTGTTCTAGTACATTGCCTATCCACTCTTCCCATTCTTTCCCCAACCCCCATCCATGACTTCTATTTTGTAACAGCAGTGTTAAGCAGTATTTTTTCCATTTGTGACTGAGATACTTCACTCAGCATAATGTCCTCCAGCCTCCCCGATGTATAATATTTTACAAGTTCATTTTTCAGTGCCATGTAATATTCCATTGTGTGAATGTACCACGGTTTTTCCTATCCAATTGTTGATGGGCACTTGGGTTGCTTCCATTTCTTTGCTATTGTGAATAATGCAGCAGTAAACAAGAGTGTGCATACATTTGTTTTAGTCATGGTTCTGGTTTCTTTAAGGTATATTCCCAGTAGCGGAATTGCTGGGTCAAATGGTATTTTTTTTTTTAATTATTTTATTTTTTATTATTTGTGTGTGTGTACCGTCAAATCGTATCTGACTGGTACAGGAGGAGATTGTTCCTCCGTCTTCAGCAGAGCATCTGGTGGATTTGAACTGCGCACCTGTGGGATTGCAGTGCAGCTTCTTGCCACTAGGCCACCAGAGCTCGCCAGGTCAAATGGTATTTCTTTTTTTTATTTTATTATTATTATTGTGTGTGTCTCTACCATCAAATCAGATCTGACTGATGCAGGAGGAGATTGCCCCTCCTTCTCCGGCAGAGCATCTGGTGGATTCGAACTGCATTATCTCTGGGATTGCATTGCAGCTTCTTGCCACTAGGCCACCGGAGCTCCCCTTCAAATGATATTTCTATGTCCAACTTTTTTAGAAAGCAACAGACCACTTTCCATAGTGGCTGTGCCATCTTACTTTCCCACCAGCAGGGAATAAGAGTTCTAGTCTCTCCATACGTCGCCAGCATTTGTTGTTTGCTGCCCTGTTGAATTTTGTTGTTGCTGGGTGAGGTGATATCTCATAGTTGGTTTGTGTTTTGTTGGTTTTTTTTGGTAGTTTTATACATTTACTTTTTCTACTTTTCCTCACATTGTTGTTTTACCATCAAGTCGGAACTGACCCATAGCTGATGCTCTGGCAGGTTTTCAGAGGCAGTTAATTGCACAAGAGGAGATTGTCCATCCTTCTCCCATAGAGCATCTGGTGGTATTGAACTGTGTGCCTTTTGGGATTGCAGTGCAGCTTCTTGCCCCTAGGATACCAGAGCTCCCACAGACATTTAAAAAATATGTATACTTTTCCTGAAAGTTCCTGAAAGTAAACTAGAAATCATAACATTTCAGCACTTGAATACATCAATATTTAACTCCTAAAAATAAGGATATAACTACACTATCATTATGACCAATGGGAAAATGAACAATAATTCCCTAGTTCTATAATTTATGGAGACCTGGAGGCATAATAGGGAGCTCTGGTGGCCTACTGGATAGGGAGTTGTGCTGCCAACCTCAAGGTGGATGGTTCGAATCCACCAGTTGCTTTGAGGGAGAAAGATGGATAGCCTCCTTCTGTGCAGTTCATAGCTTCTGAAAACCCACGGAGAGTCAGCCTGGGCCAATGCCAGCTGGATGGCAGTGGGTGTGTGAGTGGAGAGAGTGCATTATGGTGTTGGGCTGCAACCTGAGACCTGGTTTGAATCCAAGTTAAACCTTTCTGGCAAAGTGCTTTATAAGGGATGTGTATTTTCCAGTGTAAAGATCCGCAGACTTTCTGTAAAAGGCCTGATACAAAGTAAACTTTGCAGATCTTTGTCGTAACCTCTCCTTTCTAAAGTTGTGACAAGAAAACAGCTATAGATAAGATGGGGAAAACCAAGTAAGCCAACAGGATTCTGTGGGTGGTCCAGAGTTTTAACAAGCCTGCTGCTAGCTAAAATGGTGAAGGCTGGAGTAGACCCAGAAATGCTTTGGAAGAAATGCCTGGTGACACACACACACACACACACCCACACACGCACACACGCGCACACACATATGACAGGTTCAGCTCTGTTGTTCATAGGGGTCACCATGAGTTATAGTCAACTCAGAGTCACCTAATGGTAGTAACATATGGTTATTGAAGTTTTCTTTTTATCATTTTCACGTGTCATGAATATTATTCTCTTATTTTTCCCCAGCCTTTTAAAAGTGTAAGAATTAGGTGGTAGGCTAAATCTAGAGCAAGCACTTTAGCTTGCCAATCCCTGTTCTGTTGCATTAGGTGAGGAGGAACATAAGGATACAAGTTTGCTTTTATGATTAGGAAGTAATCCATTGGATCATAAATTGAGTTCAGATGTGACTCTTCTTCCCCTGCAACCTGTCAACAATTGGCAAACCTGGTCTTCTGTATTAATTTTTATCTAAGAGTAATTATTTTGAGAGTTGCAAAATGACAGAATTAAAATAACTTTTTAAAACATTTTCTTCTAGTTTATTTACAAAATCCGAATACATTGTTTTCAAGAAGAAATTATTTTCATTTCCCTCACCCCCCATCAATTTGTACAACTTCATGATTAATCCCCCTCTCCCCCAGCACATCTTCATCCCTCTGATTCCAACCTCTCCACTCCTCTTGGATCCTTATACTCATTCTACAGTATTGGTTTTATACAATATTTGTCCATGTGGGACTGAGTTAGTTCACTCAGCATAATGCTGTCCAGTCCCTCCCAAGTTAGGTAATAATTTACAAAATCATTGTTCCTACGTGCTGCATAGTATTCCATTATGTAAATATACCATAATTGCTCAACTTTTAAAAATCTTGTCACTTTGTCTATGTTTACCTAGAATTCTCCTGTAAAAAGTACTGCCTCATACTTCTTTTAAAAAACATCATTATGCATATACTCATTATTTACTATTGCCTTTTTTGTCTTTGAGACTCAACCCAGATTTAGGCAGTTGGGCCTTTCAAGTTGGCTTATCTGTCCTTTGGGCATGATCTCACTTGTCTTGGAACACATTTGTGGCAAAAGATATGTAAAATATTTTGCACTCTCCTGGTCCCATCCGGATACCAACCATTTCTCAAAGGAACCCTGGGGTCTTACAGGAAAGAATATTTCAGTGATCTGGCAACACTTGTGTCTTCTATCGACTCTCTTCTTTTCCCTTAATCATAGTACCTATTTTATTTCTCTTTTTAGAGAAATCAGCTTTTCCTTTTTGATCCTGTTCTATTTTATTTTATTTTTTTTTCCTGAGGAACACATGACTGTTTATTTAGTACCGTAATTAAATGTTAAACCCAAGCTGTTGTTGTTGTGTACCATAGAGTCAAAACTGACCCATAGCTGTCTATTTTATTTTTGTTTAATGCTCTCCTTTCATGAATTTAAAATTTTATTTTTTCTTTATTTTGTTATTCTTATGCCATTTCTTTTATGCTTGTGTTTTTAAAATTTAATGTCACAAAAAGAAAAATTAATTTTTTTTAAATTTACCTAGTTGTGCAGCCACCACCCTGATCCAGTTTTAGAACATTTTAAACACCCTGCAGAATTCCTCATTAATCTCTATTTCCACTTCTAAGCCCAAATGACCCTTAATTTATTTTCCTTCTCTGTTGTTGTTGTTATGTGCCATCGAGTCACTTGCAACTCATAGTGACACTATGTACAAAGAGCCCTAAACGCCGTTCTATCCTCTGCCAACCTCACCATCTCAAACACACTCATTCCCACCACTCCACTCACAGAATCGATCCATCTCATCGAGGGTCTTCCTCTCCTATGCCTTCCCTCCACTCTCCCAAACATGATTTACCTCTCCAAGGACCAGTCCCTCCTTGCAACATGCCCAAAATATATCAGATGAAGCTTCAGAATCCTTGACTCCAAGGAGCATTCTGGCTTCACCCTCTCCAGGACAAACCTGTTTGTTCTCCTAGCAGTCCAGCACCACAGCTCAAAGGCATCAAGTCTCTTTCTATTATCCCTATTCACTGTCCAACTCTCCAATGCATAGCATGTAATAGCAAAGACTATAGCCTGGATCAGGTTCACCTTAGTCTCCAGCCTAACGTCGTTGCTCTTCGGTACTTTTTGAGAGGTCCCTCACAGCTGACTTTCCCAGTGCAATTTGTCTCTTGATTTCCTGGCTGCTGCTACCAAGAGTGTTGACTGTGGAACCAAGCAAACTAAAACTCTTAACTATCTCAGATTTCTTCACCATCCATACTGATGCTGCCAGCTGGCCCAATGGTGAGAATCTTTGTTTTCTTGATGTTGAACTTCAGTCCATGTAGGAGGCTGCAGTCCTTGACCTTCTGCAGCAAGCACTTCAGGTCCTTCTTCAGTTTCAGCGAGCAGGGTTGTGTCATCTGCATAATGCAGGTTGTTGATGATTCTTCCATCAATCTTGATGCCACATTCCTCCTCGTATAGCCCAGCATCTCGGATGATCTGTTCTGCATATCTCTATAGAGATATGTCACCTTTTATAGACATTTTGTGTGAGTGGAATTATATAGTACTTGTCTTTTTTGCATATGGTTTCTTTCACTTAGTATATTGTTTTTAAGAGATTCAGTGATGTTGTAGCATGTAGGATTTCATTCTTTTTTTAATGCTAAACATTTCTGTTATATGGATACATTAATTTTATTTAGTTACTCACCAAACCCCACTACCTTTGAGTCAGTTCCAGCTAATAACTCTACCCTGGAGGTAGAGTTCAGGTAGGGTTTCCAAGGCTGTAAATCTTCAGAGGAGCAGACTCTTCTCTGTCCTTATAGAGGTTCTGGTGGGTTTGAACCAGTAACATTTTGGTTAGCAGCTCAATGCTTAGCCTGCAGAGCCACCACAGTTCCTTCTGGTATTTACCAGTTGACGGCTACTTGAGTTGTTTCCTTCAAGCTATCAAGAATAATACTACTGTGAATATTTGCATGCACATTTTCCTTTCTCTGGAGTAGATACCTAAGAGTGGAATTCCTAGGACTTGTAGAAATTCATGTTTAAATTTTAAAGCAATTGCCAGACATTTCCAGAGTGACTGTATCATATTCTATTTTCACTAGCTGTGCATGAGGGTGGCTGTTTTGTCTATATCTGTGTTCACATTTGCTATTGCCTTTTTATGATATTCAGAGGGCTGTGGCTAGAAGTCAGGTGTTTTAATCACTGTGCCAGTGGGGTCTTTTTTATCCTGTTTAGTGTGTGTGAAGTGATAGCTCATTGAAGTTTTAATTTGCATCTATTTAATGACTAAATATAAGCATCTTTTCATGTGCTTTTTATTTATTTTAATATCTTTCATGAATGGTCTATTCAAATCTTTCCCTCATTTTAAAAAGTTGCATTTTTGCCTCATTGAGTTGAGTTGTGTGACTTGAATGTTCTGGATCTCAAAAACTTACTCATTGCTGGGAAGTTGAACCCAGCTCGGAGATGACCCTGCAGCAGGTCTCTAAAGCTGTCTTTTTTCCTTTGGTGTGGCTGTGCATTTATTAGATAAATAATTTTTTTTATTACTCTATGCCTTGATAGGTTTTTCTTTTTCTCTTAATAGTATTTTATGAAGCACAAAAATTTGAAAAAATTTTTTTTCTTCTGGTGTTAAATCTATAAGACATCTTTGCCTAACCCGTGGTAGTGAAGATTTTCTGCTATTTTTTCCCAAAAGTTTTCTAATTTTAGCTTTTATGTTTAGATCTCTGAATCATTCTCCCAGAGATATATTTATGTTGACTATATTATACTCGTAAAATGTAAGTAATGACCATCAACAAACGAATGGCTAGAGAAGCTGTGGTATATTCGCACAATGGAATACTATGCTGCATTAAAAAACAAGGAACTCATGCAATATTATTCAAAAT